GATTAATAACACATTTATAAACTATTTATTAGCCATTCATAAGGGGAGCCTTATTGTAAAGTGGTACCCTTTTTTCCGCTTGTAGAGGTTTGATGTTCTTAGATTCTCAACCATCATGTTTTTCGTAACTCCGCTTGATCGTGAGTCGGCTACCCGCTAGCATTAGCTAATCTACCCGTAGTTGCACTTTTCATCCCAAAGTTTGGACCGTCTCTTCCTTTGTGTCTTTGCTGGTTTCTGTTTTCCTCCACAGCACCTGGATTAGCACATTGTGCACCAGTAAAATGCATCTTCCTTACACAATAACAAGCAATTTACATTGGTTTAATAAGTTCTGGGGAAAAAAGTAACTTGAAAAGATGTCGCATGAGCACTACGTCTAAAAATAGTTTATCACAAAGAGTTTTTTCTTCGGGAGCGAGTCGAAGTGACTGCGTCCAGGGTGACATGTGTCTGCTGTGATCTGATCTGCACACCTCAATGTCCTGGAGGTGTACAGGTCCTGTTTAAAAGGGAGTTTGCAGCCAATCACCGTCTCAGCAGAGCATGCAACACTCTGCAGTTGTCCCTGATGGTGGCTCCAGCGTACCACACGGTGATTGAAGAGGCGAGGATGGACTCGATGACTGCGGTGTAGAACTGCCTAATCGAATGTACTGATTCTGAGGTTGAATTTCTTCAGCTGCCTCAGGACGTTCATCATCTGCTGGGCCTTTTTATAATGGGAGGTGATGGTGGGCTCCCACTTGAGGTCCTGGGTGATGGTGGTGCCCAGGAAGCGACATGAGTCCACCATCGTGATGGAAGTGTCAGACAGGGTTATGGGGGAGGGGGCTGTGTGCTTCCTAAAGTCCACAAAAGCCTCCACTGTTGTTGCACGTGAACACAGCATGCAGGCAACAAGGGGGAGGAGGTGGGGCAGTTGTGTAGCAGTTGTTTATGGAGTGACGGTGGCACAGGAGTTGAGATAGACACCTTGTCTACATTTAAGACTGGGCTTAAAACATTTTTATTTGATAGGGCCTATGGTTAAAATCTGATGTTAGCCTAGATCTGGACAAGTGGGGGAGTAGAGGGAGGTGGAGTGTACAGTCAGTAAAAACGGCTCTCCCTTGCCCTGCCTCCAACATGCCTCCATCTAAAAAGGCTAGGTTATCCAGAGTTATTTCTGTAGTTATGCTGCTATAGGCTTAGACTGCTGGAGGATACACTGACCACTTTTCACACTTGACTACTTTCTTCTACAATCTGCCCTTTAACTGTATTATTTCCTGCAATTTCAGCTGTTAACTTTATTTTTTCTCTAAGTGTTTTTCTCCCCAGAAGAAGCTACAATGATGTTCTGCTGAGCTGTGGTGGCCTCATGGAGGGGGCCATCGGCTAGCACACTGCTGCTAACCACTTAAACATTCTCCCTCTCCTGATAATAACTTTTTGCTTTCCTTGACATTGAATGTGCTACTACTAGTTTACCCGTTTAATTATAGATTCACTAGGATAAATTGTATGTCCTCAAGACAAGCCTGTAATCTAACTAACCGATTAGATTCATCAGGGTTAATGGATAAATATAACTGAGTATCGTCAGCATAACAGTGAAAGTTTATCCCATGATGTCTAATGATTTTACCAATTGGGAGCATATATATAGTAAAAAGAATTGATCCAAGCACTGAACCCTGTGGTACTCCACAAGTAACCCTGGAGTATGAAGATTAGTCATGTACATTTACAAAATGAAATCTGTCAGACAGGTAGGATTTAAACCAGCCTAGCGCTGTTCCTTTGATCCCTACAACATGTTCAAGTCTTTCTAAAAGAACATTGTGATCAACCGTGTCAAAGGCAGCACTGAGATCTAACAAGACTAGAACAGATAACTCTGTTGCTAACCATTTAAACATTCTCCCTCTCCTGATAATAACATTATCTCTCACCAAATAGAATATTTACTAAGAAATTACATGACTCTGGTCCTGATTTGGCGCTATATAAATAAACTTGAATTTAATTGAATTGAAAAGTGCTCGCTCATAAATGGAGGCCTGAGCCCAAATCAGTCTGTCGTTGTCATTGTGTCCTTGGGCAAGACACTTAACCTACCTTGCCTGGTGGTGGTCGGAGGGACCGGTGGTGCCTGTGTTCGGCAGACTCACCTCTGTCAGTGCGCCCCAGGGCAGCTGGGGCTACATCATAGCTCAGCCCCACCAGAGTGTGAATGGGTGAATGACTGATTGTGTTGTAAAGTGCCTTGGAGGGTTCCAGGACTCTAGAAGGTGCTATATTAAATACAGGCCATTTACCGATCAGGTGCTCCACAAAAGACTCCTGTCTGTGGGGTCCAAATAATAAAGTTTGTGAAACAATCTGTGGATTACTGGGGGACTGTACCAAAATGTCATTCCACACACCATATTTGGAGAGGAAATGGGACTGACATTCACCAAGAACACCATACCAACAGTTAAGTTAGGGGGTGAAAGCATCATTAAGGTACTGGAAGTCATCATATTATTGAAGGCAGGACAAATGGAGAAATGTACCGGAACATTCAGGATAAAAATACACTGCCATCTACCAGAAAGCTGAAAATGAAGAGGGTGGACATTTCTGCAAGACAATGATCCCAAACACAAAGCCAAGGAACCAGGGAATTAGTTTCAAAGAAAGAAAATCAAATTGCTTGAATGACCCAGTCAATCACCTGACCTAAATCCCATACAAAATCTAAGGAGAGAACTGAAGATCAAAGCTCATAAAAGAGGCCCAAGGAACCTTCAAGATTTAAAGAGTGTTTGTGTGGAAGAATGGGCCAGAATCACTTCTGAGCAATGCAGACGACTGGTGTCTCCATACAAGAGGCGTCTAGAAGCTGTAATCCCCAACAAAGGCTTTCCTACAAACTAGGGTGTGTTCAGTACTTATCCCCTGTGTCATTTCACTTTTTCTATTACGACTCCACTTGTATGCTTCAATGTTCTGATAGTCAGCTTTGAAATACCTGTCAAATCCTGATTCTCCGCGCTGTATGTTACACTGAGTGCCATGCACCAATACTAAATATGGATGGTAAAACTGCTAAACAATGCTTTCCTAATTCCATGTAAATAATAACACCAACCAGGTTCCTGTCGGGTCGGGTCAAAATTAAGAGGACACACTTCAGAGGGTCTAAAAGGGCCATGAGTGGCCCCAGACCCACAGATTGCAGATTCAGCAGCAAACACGAGTAATCAGGAAAACTTACTGAAAGAGTAAGTCACTCCCTACCAGAGTTTTACTCCACCCACATTCCTGTTTGAAAAAATGCTTCACAAGCAGGTGACACCTGGCAGACCAGGGGGGCGGGTCTTCGGCAATGACTGACACCAACTGCTGACACATGGAGGAACCGGCTAGCATCACAAGGTTCCTCTAGTGCAGAGGTTCAACCTGAAGAGGGTGTCACGTTGATAGTTCAGTTTGAAATAAGATATATTAAAATCCCGAAATAATGACTACAAATGTCAACAGCACTATTAGACACTCATTTATACAGTTTATCAGCAAAAAAAGTTCATTTGGGGTGACTTGATCTTTAATCTGCTGAGACCTGGATGGATGACCAGTCTAAAAAGGACCTGCTAGCTAAGAGGAAAAGCATGCAATCACTCCTCCCTCCATGGATGTGTGCATCAAACCACAGAGTAGTAAATGTGGTGGTTGACTATTCCACTCTCTGCTGCACAAAGTAAAGTCCCATAGTCATCGTCACACACGGGTGAAATTACATCTCTGCATTTGACCCATGTTCATGGGGAGTGGTGAGCTGCAGCTGTGGCTGCACTCGGGAGCAACTTGTTGGTTGATGAATCGGACCTGGAATACTGGGGAAATCTAGAAGCACAGAAGTACATCAGAAACAGATGTGTGAAACATACGCTGCTGATAGGAGTCAGAATGACGGAGCGATGAGTCAGGTTTCCTGCAGAGATCATTAAACCAGGGCCTCTCCTGGACCGGAAACCAACTGGGCCATGCAGCAGGGTTATAAAATAAATGACGACAAGGAAGATATGTGCTTACAACATGGCCGAGCTCACTAGCATTAGTAACACTAACTGTGTGTGTGTGTGTGTGTGTGTGCGTGCGTGCGTGTGTGCGCGCGCGTATGTGTGTGTGTTAGGGGTACACAATGTTATTTAAACAGAAAAATGTACGTTTTGTACTATAGGTGTAAAAAGGTGTGATGAAGGAGTGAACATCATGAGATCAACTGTGTCACTGCTTCAGGACAAAGAGTCTATATAGCCTCCCACAAAGACCTGCTGGACTAAAACATAATATTATTATCCAACGTCAAGCTCAACAAAGAGTCCTATCAGGTCTTTTTGGCCTGTAGGAGTCCAGAGGCAGCTGATGGGTACCGGCGGGCCAAGCGGAATGTGGCCCGGGTGGCAAGTTCGCACAACCAGTCTACATGTGTTTTGTGGATTTGGAGAAGGCGTTTGACCGCGTCCCTCGGGGGGCCTTGTAGGGGGTACTCCGGGAGTATGGGGTACCAGGCCCTCTGATATGGGCTGTTAGGTCCCTGGATGACCGGTGTCAGAGCTTGGCCCGCATTGCCGGCAGTAAGTCGGGCTCGTTCCCAGTGAGAGTTGGACTCGGCCAAGGCTGCCCTTTGTCACCGACTCTGTTCATAACCTTTATGGACAGGATTTCTAGGTGCAGCCAAGGTGTGGAGGGCATCCGTTTTGGTGGCCTGAGGATCAGGTCTCTGCTTTTTGCAGATGATGTGGTCCTGTTGGCTTCATCAGAACGTGATTTTCAGCTTTCCCTAGAGCGGTTCACAGCCGAGTGTGAAGCAGCTGGGATGAGAATCAGCTCCTCTAAATCTGAGACCATGGTCTTGATTCAGAAAAGGGTAAGGGTAAATCTTAGCTATTATTCTGGAAATGCCACAATGATTTCATATTTTCCTACATAAATGCCCCCACTATGAACATGGCCTTTGTGCTCACCGATCTGGTAGTGATCGATCTTCATGGTGGAGTTGGTCAAGGAGCCAAAGATGGTGATGATAGAAACCTTCCTTATGGCCATCTCACACACTGATTCCAGATACTCATCCTTCTGCTGGACGTACATGGTGTTGTCCTCAGTGAGGGATGTAATTAGCTGGAAGGACAAAGGTATGGAGGATAGATGAAACACGTCACCAAAATGCTGCGAAAAAGCTTCTATAGAAACCTGTAGATTTGCAGTGACACAGCTGTGAGGTGTGACACAATAGTGAGGTGTGAGACAATAGTGAGGTGTGACACAATAGTGAGCTGTGAGACAATAGTGAGGTGTGAGACAACAGTGAGGTGTAACACAAGAGTGAGGTGTGAGACAATAGTGAGGTGTAACACAACAGTGAGGTGTGAGACAACAGTGAGGTGTGACACAATAGTGAGGTGTCAGACAACAGTGAGGTGTGAGACAACAGTGAGATGTGAGACAACAGTGAGGTGTGAGACAACAGTGAGGTGTAACACAAGAGTGAGGTGTGAGACAGCAGTGAGGTGTGACACAATAGTGAGGTGTGAGACAGCAGTGAGATGTGAGACAAGAGTGAGGAGTGAGACAAAAGTGAGGTGTGAGACAATAAGGTGTAACACAATAGTGAGGTGTGAGACAAGAGTGAGGTGTGAGATAATAAGGTGTAACACAATAGTGAGGTGTGAGACAATAGTGAGGTGTCAGACAACAGTGAGGTGTGAGACAATAGTGAGGTGTAACACAATAGTGAGGTGTGAGACAACAGTGAGGGGTAAGACAACAGTGAGGTGTGAGACAACAGTGAGGTGTAACACAAGAGTGAGGTGTGAGACAACAGTGAGGTGTGACACAACAGTGAGGTGTGACACAATAGTGAGGTGTGAGACAATAGTGAGGTGTGAGACAACAGTGAGGTGTGAGACAATAGTGAGATGTGAGACAACAGTGAGGTGTAACACAAGAGTGAGGTGTGAGACAACAGTGAGGTGTGAGGCAATAGTGAGGTGTAACACAAGAATGAGGTGTGAGACAACATTGAGGTGCAACACAATAGTGAGGTGTGAGACACTAGTGAGGTATATCACAAGAGTGAGGTGTGAGACAACAGTGAGGTGTGACAAATAGTGAGGTGTGAGACAATAGTGAGGTGTGAGACAACAGTGAGATTTGAGACAGCAGTTAGGTGTAAGACAATAGTGAAGTGTAACACAAAAGTGAGGTGTGAGACAATAGTGAGGTGTGAGACACTAGTGAGGTGTGAGTCAATAGTGAGGTGTAACACAATAGTGAGGTGTGAGTCAATAGTGAGGTGTAACACAATAGTGAGGTGTGAGACAGCAGAGAGGTGTGAGACAATAGTGAGGTGTAACACAATAGTGAGGTGTGAGTCAATAGTGAGGTGTAACACAATAGTGAGGTGTGAGACAATAGTGAGGTGTAACACAATAGTGAGGTGTGACACAATAGTGAGCTGTGAGACAACAGTGAGGTGTAACACAACAGTGAGGTGTGAGACAACAGTGAGGTGTGACAGAAGAAGTAAGGTGTGAGACAACAGTGAGGTGTGAGACCACAGTGAGATGTGAGAAAACAGTGAGGTGTGAGACAACAGTGAGGTGTAACACAATAGTGAGGTGTGAGACACTAGTGAGGTGTAACACAAGAGTGAGGTTTGAGACAATAGTGAGGTGTGAGACAACAGTGAGATATAACACAAGAGTGAGGTGTGAGACAACAGTGAGATGTAACACAAGAGTGAGGTGTGAGACAACAGTGAGGTGTGAGACAACAGTGATATGTGAGACAACAGTGAGGTGTAACACAAGAGTGAGGTGTGAGACAACAGTGAGGTGTGAGACAACAGTGAGATGTGAGACACCAGTGAGGTGTGAGACAATAGTGATGTGTAACACAAGAGTGAGGTGTGAGACAACAGTGAGGTGTGACACAATAGTGAGGTGTGAGACAATAGTGAGGTGTAAAACAATAGTGAGGTTTGAGACAATAGTGAGGTATGAGACAACAGTGAGATGTAACACAAGAGTGAGGTGTGAGATTACAGTGAGGTGTGAGACAACAGTGAGATGTGAGACAACAGTGAGGTGTAACACAAGACTGAGGTGTGAGACAACAGTGAGGTGTGAGACAATAGTGAGGTGTGAGACAACCGTGAGGTGTAACACAAGAGTGAGCTATGAGACAACAGTGAGGTGTGAGACAACAGTGAGGTGTAACACAAGAGTGAGGTGTGAGACAATAGTGAGGTGTAAACACAATAGTGAGGTGTGAGACAACAGTGAGGTGTAACACAAGAGTGAGGTGTGAGACAATAGTGAGGTGTGAGACAACCATGAGGTGTAAACACAATAGTGAGGTGTGAGACAACAGCGAGGTGTAACACAAGAGTGAGGTGTGAGACAACAGTGAGGTGTGAGACAATAGTGAGGTGTGAGACAATAGTGAGGTGTAACACAAGAGTGAGGTGTGAGACAACCGTGAGGTGTAAACACAATAGTGAGGTGTGAGACAACAGTGAGGTGTAACACAAGAGTGAGGTGTGAGACAACCGTGATGTGTAAACACAATAGTGAGGTCTGAGACAACAGTGAGGTGTGAGACAACAGTGAGGTGTAACACAAGAGTGAGGTGTGAGACAACAGTGAGGTGTGAGACAATAGTGAGGTGTGGGACAACAGTGAGGTGTGAGACAACAGTGAGGTTTGAGACAATGGTGAGTTATGAGACAACAGTGAGGAGTGAGAAAATGGGTTAGGGTTTGCAAAGTTTGTACTGGGAACGCTCCATTGGAACCTCCACAGCTGCTAGCAGAATTCTGGCTAGCCAATCACAGCTCTCTATAGGGGTTTCAAATATTTAGAGCTCTATCTGCTCTATGGACCAATAGTGCTTTATCAGCTTTGTGGACCAATCAGAGCCCTCTATCCCTCTGGTGGGCGAGAAAATGCAACAGAATAAAACCAGAGGGCGACAGCTCATTTGAAACGGGTTTTACATCAATGTTGGACTATTTGGACTTGGGCTTTATTAGAATCAGGAGCAGAGAGATGCATTTAAGTTATTTACTTAGAAAAAAGGATTTTTCCTTCTTCAACAGTGGACTGCCTTGTTTACCAGCATCCATTGTGGGTAGTACGTCACGTTGTTCGTTGTCTAGTAGCATGTGGAGACTGTTTGAAAGACAACAGTAGAACCCGCCCCACGACCGAGAGTCGCCAATGGAGCATTGCCAGACTAAATAATACATTTACTTAGTCTGGCTTGCCAGACTAACATAGTGGCATCATTTGATGAATTTCTCGATATGTTAACACCCCCAAAAAACCAAATAATTTTCAGAGCTAATACAATAGGCCTTGGCAGCGTCTATGCTCGGGCCTAAATAAAGTTGCAAGTTGGTCCTCACAGCTCAGTGCCTCTTCTGCCTAGCGTCGCGACCCAGGGCGAACAAGCTTTGCCGCGCCATAGACACATCAACTCTTGTCAACAGTCACCTTATCCTTATCTCACCCCAACTCAGCATGTCCACTGAGCCTAGCAAATGGTCTGGAGACTTTGGGAAGACCCAAAGACCTCAGGTCCTGAGTTTGGGCCCAAGTTGAGTGTTCAGAACTGGATCTACAAGTCAAGACCACAATACGGAACTTCTGGAGAACTCTTGAAGCTCCCCAGACCCCAGGTCCTGGTTTTGGCCAAGGTTGGGTGTTAAGGGGTGGATCTGCAGGTCAATATCACAATCCAGGGCTTCTGGATACCTCTAGAGCACCACCAGACCCAAGGGGGCAGAGCGATAGTGATGTAGCCTCTGGAAATGGTCTTTGGGTATCACGCTCCGAGAGCGCCCAGATCTACTGATGACTAACTACCGCCTGTTCACACTAAAGGGTTGTGTTAAAATTGACCCCACATCGGCGTGTACTCAAGAAATGATGACGGGTAGACAGATTACCCTGCCACTTCACCTGCTGTACCAGTCAGTTTAGTCCACTGCCACTCCAGCTTACAATAGCGAGCAGTATTTGCAGGACCTGAAGAACCATCTGCCTGCAGCATTTTCTTTTGCACAGACCAATCTGGAGAAATCAACTGAGGGCAGGAAGGCTTATTATGATCTGAAGGCCTCACATTCTGAACTCAACGTGGGTGATGAGGCCTGGTTCTACATCTTTGCTCCTACTTCCGGTCGCACAAAAGTCTCCTCTGGTAAACTGGCTTAGAAACTTTTGCCAAAGTGGTCAGGTCCATACCTGATAACTGAAAAACTCTCTCCAGTCATGTATCATCAGATCAAGATCACCAAAGGTAACAAAGATCCAATCTATAAGTGGATCCACAGGAACCAAATCAAACCACACAAGGGTTCCACTAACTTGGATGATATTACAACCCATGACTCTGATAACCCAACTGGAATCGATCCAAAAGGGGGGTGAAAGTTCAGTCCGCTCACACTCGGTGTCAAGTTCTGTTTGTGTTTGTGTATGTGCATGGTTGTACTTCCTGTCTACATGACGTGCAGACTTGGGTGACTTGAGACAGTCGTGCTGTGGGTTCCTGAAGTTCTGTAATGGTTAAGTCATTAACAGTAAAAGGCGTATTCCACTAACTGTTATGTTTAATCAAAATTCCATTTTCTTTTATTTTTCAATTCCCAGTGATTTGGATAATTTTTGCTATTTTTATACATTTTATGACTGATTTAAGTTCACTTTATTCTTCAGTTTAATTTACGAATCTCTAATTCCTTATGGGGTATATTCACATATAGGTTGATTGCTAACATCACTGATTTACATTCCAGTGTTCTTCATTCGCAGATATATATATATATATATTTTTTTTTTTGTATATTTTTTGCATTATTTTGCTTACAGCTGATTACTTTTTGAGATAACTTTTATGATCTCCTTTGTTTTAATTTTGCCAAGTTATGGGCTACAGATCATTTTTGATGACATTTTTGCCCAAAAGCTTTCACTGTCCCTTACATATATTATAGGTTTTTATTATTTAGTTCTTTTTGCAACACTTTTCCAGTACACGTAGTTTACTGCATCTATTTCTTTCACCAGGACTCTGTTTACATAGTATACTTCACATAGGTATGTACACAGGTA